GAGTGGTTGCCTTCTCCAGCTCATTTTACAATGAGGAGTTGGAAACTGAGGCAAACAGGATTAATTGACCTAGCCAGGGTCACACAGCTAGTAACTGTTTGAATCCAGTTTTGAACTCAGGAAGATGACTCTTCCTGACTTCAGGCCTGGCGCTCTTTCCACTGTGCCACCTACTTGTTTTGTGTTTGGATTAGTGGTCCCCATTCCTATTTGAGTTGAAGACCACTGATCTAGTCCACCCCCCTCATTTTGTAAATGAGGAAACTGAGGCCAAGATGTATAAAGTGACCTGCCCAAGGTTATTCAGGCAGTAACCAGCAGAACTGGAATTTGAACCCAAATCCTCTTTCTAAATCCAGAACTTTTTCTCCTGGACTATGCAACTTCTCATAGAGAGAAGTTTTTATCCCCATTTATAGATAAGGAAGCAGAAGCTCAAAGAACATGAAAGACTCCTAGAATCACACAACTAGTAAATGTTTGAGGTGAGATTTGTTCCTAGGTTTTCCTGACTCCCAGTCCAGGGCTCTATCTGCTTTACCACCCTCTTTCTAGCCTATTGCATCTCTCAAATCCCAACTTCAAAAAAAGCAAAATTCTATCTCCCAGAAACAAAAGCAAAAACAAAGTGCATTAGGGACAACCCAAAAGTAATTCCCCTATTTGTAAACATAATCAATTTTAGGACTGAAATTGGATCTTCTTGCTTGTTAAATGCTATGTGACTTGATTCTCTCTGCTATAGTACCAGAGATTTAAAGCTGAAAGGTATTTCCAGATCCCTTAAACCAACCCTCTCCTCCTTTTATCAAAGAGGAAACTCAAAGCTACTGAGATTTAATGACTTGTTCAAAGTCACAAAAGGAGGATTTGAATCAGAGGGAGGATTTGAATACATGTTTTCTGACTCTAGACCCAGTGCCTAGTATATAACATTAAAAAAAAGCCACTGAGGTCCTTTGCTCTCATCCTTCAAACATTTACCCTTGCTTTTCCATGGTTAAAGGTAGGTTGGGGGAGGAAACAGGAAAGAAGGTAAGGAGACAGTGTTTCCTGTGCAGGAACTTTGACCTTGGTCTGGGTGGGATCACCCCAAAAGAGAGCCAGGAATTGATTGAGTATTGTCTGGGCTACGTGGGCTAACCTGTCCAAAAATCAGAGAAGTGGAGAAGACAGAGAGAAGATATTTTTCCTTTTTTTCTCAGGAGGATATATTATTTATGCATTTTTGAAGGGCCTTCTGAATCAGCAAAGGAATGAAATAGTCAAGTTACAGACTCGGAAGGTTTAGAACTAGAAGGGATCAATCCAATATATGTTTTACAGACAGGAAAATTAGTCTCAGAGAGAATAAATGACTTGTATGTGGTCACCCAGGTAAATGTCAGAGGGAGGATTCAAATGATCATAGCTTTAGAGCTGGAAGGAACTTAGAAGTCATCTGCTCCAGTCCATCATTTGATAGATGAAGAAACCAAAGGCCTGAGTTCAAAGTGACTCACCCAGGTTCACACAGGTAGAAAGGGGCAGAGACAGGATTTGAGTCCAGGACCTTTGGCTCCCAATCTAACTCTATCTATGGCACCAAAATGCCATCCGCTAAACCCAGGTCTCACCAACAAGTTCGAGATACTCTCCCCAAAATCTTGCTGCCCCACTTGAAGTTAAGTCCTTTCATTCAAAAGGGTGAAAAGGCAGAATGTAACTGGGGCTCTAGGACTCAGTCATATGCTCATAGTACATCCTCAGGTAACCCACTCCACTAATATGAGGCACCATCTGCCAAGAAATAGGGTGGGTGTGATGGAAACAACTTTCTGGGAGAAAGCTGTTGAAAAGAAATATTGGCCAGGTAGTCTGACATCTTTCTTTCCATGGGACAAAGAATTATCACAGGATAGGCAAAGTCTTTTTACACAAGTTTCTATCAAGAGTCTTATGCAAAGAGAATCCGTCATCCACTTTACTTTCTGCCAATGATACTCAAAAGGACTTATACTAATACTGAGAATTCTGCCTGTTCCTTGACATATCCTTTATGACTGCTTCATTGCAATACCAGCCTCCCTCCAGCATCACTAGCTCATTTTTTTAGCCTCTCTTCCATTACGGGGTTCACTGGCAAAAGTGAGGGCCTCATGTGCCATTTGTGAGCAAAGAAATTGTAGGTAATTTATCCCAATTCTTCGTTGAAAGTGCCGCACGCACTGTCAGATGTGTTTTAATTAACTATTTTTATTTGTTACAAGGCAGAGTTATACATAGAGCACTTACAGACATATGGCAAAAACAAGATTAATTTTTTTAAACTTCAGGTAAGACAGAAGGGTAGCGATGGTTAATGGTACCAGTAGGACAAGTTGAGCCATCATCAGGTTAATGCACAGACCAACAAAACTCATCAACAATGACTAAAACAATATATTTTTGTTCATCCAGAATGCAAACATTCATAAAGCTCAAATTACTGGAATTTTCTGAGAACCTAGGCAACTAAGTG